GCATGGTCGTTTTTTGTTCCGGCCATTTGTTCTTTCTCTATATGAAGTGTATAAAAAAAACCCATTTTCCTGAGTCAACCGTTTCAACAGAATTTGTCTGATTCCAATGCGGATTCGATTTTATACAAGTTTGGAGGGTCTTCTATGGACATTCTAAGGCTCAAAGCCCTACCAAAAGAAATATGTCCTAGAGATTTGCGCGTGGTATTGTCGTTTTGTGTTTCTGCGATTTGTTCTTTCTCTATATAAAGAGTATAAAAAACACCATTTTCCTGAGCCAACAGTTTTAACACCATTTGTCTGATTTCAATGCAGATTCGTTTTTTTTACAAGTTTGGATGGTCTTTTGTGCACAACATAAGGCACAAAGCCCTTACCAAAGAAATATGTCCTTCAGATTTCCGCGTGGCATGGTCGTTTTGTGTTCTGGCGATTTGTTCTTTCTGTATATAAAGTGTATAAAAAACACCATTTTCCGGAGCAAACCGTTTAAACACCATAAGTCTGATTCCAATGCGATTTCGCTTTAGTACAAGTTTGAAGGGTCTTCTGTGCACAATATCAGGCAAAAAGCCCTAACCCAAGAAATATGTCCTAGAGATTACCGCGTGGCATGGTCAATTTTTGTTCCGGCCATTTGTTCTTTCTGTATAAACACCATTTTCCTGAGCCAACCGTTTAAACAGAATTTGTCTGATTCCAATGCGGATTCGATTTTGTACAAGTTTGGAGGTTCTTTTGACATTCTAAGGCTCAAAGCCCTACCAAAAGAAATATGTCCTAGAGATTTGCGCGTGGTATTGTCGTTTTGTGTTTCTGCGATTTGTTCTTTCTCTATATAAAGAGTATAAAAAACACCATTTTCCTGAGCCAACAGTTTTAACACCATTTGTCTGATTTCAATGCGGATTCGATTTTTTACAAGTTTGGATGGTCTTTTGTGCACAACATAAGGCACAAAGCCCTAACCAAAGAAATATGTCCTTCAGATTTCCGCGTGGCATGGTCGTTTTGTGTTCTGGCGATTTGTTCTTTCTGTATATAAAGTGTATAAAAAACACCATTTTCCGGAGCAAACCGTTTAAACACCATAAGTCTGATTCCAATGCGATTTCGCTTTAGTACAAGTTTGAAGGGTCTTCTGTGCACAATATCAGGCAAAAAGCCCTAACCCAAGAAATATGTCCTAGAGATTACCGCGTGGCATGGTCAATTTTTGTTCCGGCCATTTGTTCTTTCTGTATAAACACCATTTTCCTGAGCCAACCGTTTAAACAGAATTTGTCTGATTCCAATGCGGATTCGATTTTGTACAAGTTTGGAGGTTCTTTTGACATTCTAAGGCTCCAAGCCCTAACCAAAGAAATATGTCCTAGAGATTTCCGCGTGGTATGGTCGTTTTTTGTTTCTGCGATTTGTTCTTTCTCTATATAAAGTGTATAAAAAACACCATTTTCCCAAGCCAACCGTTTAAACACCATTTGTCTGATTTCAATGCGGATTCGATTTTGTACAAGTTTGGAGGGTCTTCTGTGCACAACATAAGGCTCAAAGCCCTAACCTAAGAAATATGTCCAAGAGATTTCCGCGTGGCATGGTCGTTTTTTTTTGTTTTTGCGATTTGTTCTTTCTCTATATAAAGTGTATAAAAAACACCATTTTCCCGAGTCAACCGTTTTTACATCATTTGTCTTATTTCAATGCGGATTCGATTTTGTACAAGTTTGGAGGGTCTTCTGTGCACAATATCAGGCACAAAGCCCAATCCCAAGAAATATGTCCTAAAGATTTCTCCGTGGCATGGTGATTTTTTGTTCCGGCCATTTGTTCTTTCTGTATATAAAGTGTATAAATAACGCCATTTTCCTGAGCCAACCGTTTCAACAGAATTTGTCTGATTCCAATGCGGATTCGATTTTGTACAAGTTTGGAGGGTCTTCTATGGACATTCTAAGGCTCAAAGCCCTAACCAAAGAAATATGTCCTAGAGATTTCCGCGTGGCATGGTCGTTTTTTGTTTCTGCGATTTGTTCTTTCTCTATATAAAGTGTATAAAAAACACCATTTTCCCAAGCCAACCGTTTTAACACCATTTGTCTGATTTCAATGCGGATTCGATTTTGTACAAGTTTGGAGGGTCTTCTGTGCACAACATAAGGCTCAAAGCCCTAACCCAAGAAATATGTCCTAGAGATTTCCGCGTGGCATGGTCGTTTTTAGTTCCTGTGATTTTTTTCTTTCTGTATATAGTGTACAAAAAGCAGCATATTACTAGGCCAACCGTTTAAACACCATTAGTCTGATTCCTATGCGGATTCGATTTTGTACAATTTTGAAGGGTCTTCTGTGCACAATATCAGGCTCAAAACCCTAACCAAAGAAATATTTCCTATAGATTTGCGCGTGGCATGGTCTTTTTTTTTCCGGCGATTTGTTGTTTTTGTATATTAAGTGTATAGAAAACACTATTTTCCTGAGACAACCGTCAACAGAATTTGTCTGATTCCAACGCGGATTCGATTTTGTACAGGTTTGGAGGATCTTTGGAGTTTGGATTGTCTACTTTGTACAATATAAAGCCAAAAGCCCATACCCAATCAATATGTCCGGGAGATTTCCGCGTGGCATGGTCGTTTTATGTTCCGGCGATTAGTCCCTTGTGTATATAAAATGTATAAAAATCACCATTTTCCAAACCAACCGTTTAAACACCATTTGTCTGCTTTCAATGCGTAAACCGTAAATAAAACAAGAGGGCCATGATGGCCCTAGATCGCTCACCTGACCCATCAAACTCATTCAAACAATTATCTAGACAAGCATTCTGACCAAGTCTCATGACAGGTGAGTCAAAAATGTGACCACTACAGTGTTAACAAGGATTATCCATATTTGAGCAGTGTGACCTAGTTTTTTACCCAGGTGACCCATATTCAAACTTGACCTAGAAATCATCAAAACAAACTTTCAGACCAATTTCCAGGATACTTGGATCAAAACAGTAGCAACTAGAGTGTTAACAAGATTTTTCTAGTTTTAGCTCCGGTGACCTAGTTTCTCATGCGATTTCGAACTAATCCGAGCAATTACCTAGACAAGCATCCTGACCAAGTTTGATGATAATTGAGTCGAAAATGTGACCACTAGAATGTTAACAAGGTTTTTCAATATTTGGGCGGTGTGACCTAGTTTTTCATCCAAGATGACCCATGTTCGAACTTGACTTAGAAATCATCAAAACAAACTTTCAGACCAATTTACAGGATATTTGGATCAAAACAGTAGCCACTAGAGTGTTAACAAGTTTTTTCTATTTTTAGCTCCTGTGACCTAGTTTTTCATCCGAGATGACCAATGTTCAAACTCATCCAAGCTATCAACTAGACAAACATCCTGACCAAGTTTGATGATGATTGAGGCAAAATTGTGACCGCTAGAGTGTTAACAAGGTTTTTCTATTTTTAGCTCTTGTGACCTAGTTTTTCATCCGAGATGACCCATGTTCGAACTCATCCGAGCTATTAAATAGATAAGCATCCTGACCAAGTTTGATGATGATTGAGGCAAAAATGTGACCGCTGGAGTGTTAACAATGTTTTTCTATTTTTAGCTCCGGTGACCTAGTTTTTCATATGAGATGACCCATGTTCGATCTCATGCAAGCTATCACCTAGACAAGCATCCTGACCAAGTTTGATGATGATTGAGGCAAAAATGAGACCGCTAGTGTGTTAACAAAGTTTTTCTATTTTTAGCTCCGGTGACCTACTTTTTCATCCGAGATGACCCATGTTCGAACTCATCCAAGCTATCACCTAGACAAGCATCTTGACCAAGTTTGATGATGATTGATGCAAAAATGTGACCGCTAGAGTGTTAACAAGGTTTTTCTATTTTTAGCTCCAGTGACCTACTTTTTCATCAGAGATGACCCATGTTCGAACTCATCCGAGCTATCACCTAGACAAGCTTCCTGACAAAGTTTGATGATGATTGATGCCAAAATGTGACCGCTAGAGTGTTAACAAGGTTTTTCTATTTTTAGCTCCGGTGACCTACTTTTTCATCCGAGATGACCCATGTTCAAACTCATCCAAGCTATCACCTAGACAAACATCCTGACCAAGTTTGATGATGATTGAGGCAAAATTGTGACCGCTAGAGTGTTAACAAGGTTTTTCTATTTTTAGCTCTTGTGACCTAGTTTTTCATCCGAGATGACCCATGTTCGAACTCATCCTAGCTATCAACTAGATAAGCATCCTGACCAAGTTTGATGATGATTGAGGCAAAAATGTGACCGCTGGAGTGTTAACAATGTTTTTCTATTTTTAGCTCCGGTGACCTACTTTTTCATCCGAGATGACCCATGTTCGAACTCATCCGAGCTATCACCTAGACAAACATCCTGACCAAGTTTGATGATGATTGAGGCAAAAATGTGACCTCTAGAGTGTTAACAAGGTTTTTCTATTTTTAGCTCTTGTGACCTAGTTTTTCATCCGAGATGACCCATGTTCGAACTCATCCGAGCTATCAACTAGATAAGCATCCTGACCAAGTTTGATGATGATTGAGGCAAAAATGCGACCGCTAGAGTGTTAACAACAAAATGTGAACGGACGACGGACGGACGACGGACAATCATCGATCCTAAAAGCTCATCCTGAGCATTCTAAGTAGAAAAAAGCATTTTTATTTGTCTAAATCCATGGCAGAGATATGTCTTATTGCCTGGAACAAGGGACGATGGTCACGAACAATTAAGTATCAAAGCTATACCTAAAATGGTACAGAAAAAAGGTAGGGTAGTAACCGTATATGGAATGAAAAACTTAACTCAAAATGTGACGCCAACGCCTGGGTGAGTAGGATAGCTCTCCCTAGTGTATATATACAATTGTCAAGCTTAAAAAGATAAATATATAAATTCATAACGCCTTGGCAGTAATTCTATTTAAGTATAGAGTATTAACTAGTCTAATATATGTAACTCAATAAATGTTATGAATATTTATTAAATAACAGACAGGCATCTTATGAATAAAACATCACAATGCAATCAACAAAACAAAATCAAAATCTGACAAAGTATTAATGTGATAATAACAAACACATTAACAATAACATAAAAGAACAAGTTTTTTTTTTAATCAAAGAATATAAAATAAAACAACTGAGATAAATTTAGGTAATAATATGGATTAATTAAGCTACATTTCTATAGGCTATAACAGAGAATGTCATACCTCTATACCGCTTTATGAAACAATAATGTAAAATACACAACACAACAAAATATGGCAATTATACACATATTATGCATGCAACCCTTTACATTACATAAACATGCATGTCTACGCCGTAAACGTACATACGCTTCATAATCTTACTTCTCAACAGTCTCAGTCAAATTAACTTTTCTTAGACCTCTTGAACTCAATCTAATCCAGTCCTTTACGAGGACTACGGGCTCACTCAAAACAGGACAGGTGTCTCATTGTAATTGATCAGAAATATTGAAATCTATTTACAAATATATTGTTTGAACAAAGCATCCATTTTCATTCGTAATCTAAGGCAACCCATGAGTTCCAGGAATGAGCTCCCTCAAACCCGTTCCTTTGGAACTGGTAGTCTTTGTCCGCTTCTCGTATTTCGTCTTCTGTGTTCATTACCCATGTACCTTCAAATAAAATATTGTCGGCTTCCAAGATGTTAAATTTCACAATTCAATTATCATTATGCATTTTCTATTGCAAAAAGTGAAATAGTGGATTCGCATAAATGTTATCATTAAGATGAATAAGAATCAACATTTTAAGTTTTACGGTCTTAAAAATATATTCCATTTTTGTATGTATATACTTTGCACATAACATATAATTATTATTATTATCAATTATCATTATTAAACAAATATCTGGTTCTGTTTTGACTGAATATCAATGATTAAATATTGGTACAAATAAATCAAAAGTTTTGATAGTTTAATTTAGAGTGAAGCGAATATTTATATTACTTTCATGTAATGTATCGCCATGTATGAAGTGAACTGTCAAGACAATTTTAAAACAAAATAAGAATGCCATTTATTTAGACAGCCAATTTTGAAAGCATAAAACTATTGACAAATAGGTGATTTTGTTATACCACCCGTTTTCCTAGGTCAATAAATATAAAATTATAAAATAGTTGGTAAAAGTGGCCAACATCAGATCTGTTTATCAATATGTTCACAATATAAAAATAATATCACTATCAGTTTGTTCACAATATAAAATAATATCAGTTCTTTAATGAAATTAGCCCCTTCCCGCACTAGATTGCCAATTTCGTGCTTTTTCAAATCCATTTCTTGCCGAACGATAGTCATTAATGGCCTCTTGAATTTCTTTTTGTTCATTCATTACAAACGGTCCTGAAACATACCATAGTAAAAAGTACATCTCTTATTACTTCAAAGTTGATTAATTAGTTATTTAATAGCTGTGCATATAGGGTATGAGCATATTTGTAAATATAGATTACTCAGTACATGCATGTATGTACTTCCTACATTTTGCCCTTGCATTGCACATGCATGTACTTTTGTTTTGAGTTGGATTTAAAGTTATACTGATACTATAAAGATCACGTGTTAACTTTCAAAATTCAAGAACCAATAACCTCTTGTAAACTAATGAAATAGCTACCTGGCAAGAATAAAAATCAGGAGTCATTGATTTGAACCCACAGTTGTAAGGGCAAGTAATTCAAAGTAAAACTAGACCTATCACTGAAGGTGATTAATACCTCAACTAGCAACTTTAACTTTTTGAAAAATAAGTGGTCTGAAGACAAATTTGAACTCAACCTTTAGTAAATGGAGTATCAACTGTGTGCAAAAAATTATTTCAATAAATTGTAATTCCAACCAGGATCTTCATATAACTTGCTATATATCAAGTTTGATTACAATATATCATTCCTAACTCTAGATATTGTCCCCAAACCATTTTTCTATTTTCAGAAATGGTGACCTTGACCCCAGGGGGTCAAACTGTGGTACCATCCAGGGTATCCATATAAGCTTGCTATACACCAAATTTAATTACTCATTCCTAACTCTAGTTATTGTCGGGAAACTATTTTATCTATTTATAGCAACAGTGACCTTGACCCCAGGTCTAAATGCAATACCAACCAGGGTCTTCATATAAGCTTGCTATACTACAATATCTCATTCCTATCTCTAGTTATTGATCGAAAACCATTTTACTATTTTTGGTAATGGTGATGTTGACATTGACCCCAGGGGTTCCACCAGGGTCTCCACATTAGCTTGCTTTACACCAAGTTTGATTACAATATCTCATTCCTAACTCTAGTTATTGTCCGGAAACCATTTTTCAATTTTAGTAATGGTGACCTTGACCTTGACCCCAGGGGGTCTAAATGCAATAACTCAATAACTAATTCAACTATAAGCCACATTGAGGCCTAATTTCAAAAGATATAACCATTTAATAAGTACAGGATCACCAACAGTGTTTAACAATGTACTAACTGTCTTTAATTATATTGTCACAGAAAAAAAGGTTGCATCAGTCTGGGACTTGTGAATTATGTCACTCTTCAAACTGAAGTTTATTAAAGTACTCACCATGTTGCACTATTGGTTCATTTAATGGTTTCCCAGCTATCAATACAAAATGACAAATATCATCACCCTGTAAAACAAATTTACCATTTTAAAATGGCAACACAAGAAAAATTAATCATTATATTGTAAGAAATCAAACATATAACATGCACAATGTATAATATTGAGTAAATTTCTTGTCTATACATGTATATATATATGCATAATATCAACCTATAATTTTTGATATGTTATATGGCCCTGTTTGAATGATTGTAAGCTTATATAACCAGAGTTATATGAGCAGTTATATTACAAACAAGCATAAATACAAGGTCATAGAACCTGTAAAAAACCTTAATTTTATCTTTTTTAGTTAAAAACAAATTCCTTTATTTGAGGAATACTGAAAATTACTTCATGAAATTTACATAAGTTGTGTATACAGTTTATATAAACCTCACAATTATCAAATCAAAATCAATGCTACCAACATGACAGTATTAGAAAATATAAGGCTCCACTGAATTTTCTCTAGGAACTGTTGTGTTGTCTGTAACTTTACTTTTATAACAAGTAAATACTCACATTGTTAATAACATCCAGCATGTTCCCTGGACCTAACAACAGTGTATGATGGGGAGGTCCCTGTTTTGCATTGTCACTTGGTCCTAAAATTAATGCTCTTGCAAATATCAGATAGTTTAAACAATGGCAGCTATAGGGCTTAAATACTTTAACCAGTGCGGCTTTTGCAACTCTGTATAAACAGTATTGCAAAGCTGTGCAAATATTTTGACAAAAATTTCATTTAAGTTATAAAAACATAGTGTAAGGAGGCGCTCAATGTTAGTGTTAAACTATAAGCATGCCAAAGAAAAAGAGATTCTTCTCAACTGTAAACTGGCCTCGAGGTTATATAATATAAATGTATGTGTGTTCTGTCTTAAATCTCAGGATTTTCATTGGTCAGCTGTGAACATTCTATGACAGTTTCTGACCAATCAAATACCTGACATCTGAGTTAAGTTTAGAGTTTTTCTTGATAACCTGGGACTAGTGTAGTTTCTATACTCAATTTACTGAGAAAAAATTTATAAAATAATAGATTGCTTACCAGTGGCTCACAAAATACAATTTTATCAAACCATTGATAAATTTAGTATTGAATCTACACTCATTCATTATATTCTCATATGCACAAATTTGTATTGTATAAGAATATTAAATTTTATTTATGCATATCAATTCATTTATAAAAACCCATATACCAGGAAAGATTTTCAGGGAATTTTCCAAAAATTTAGAATTACAGTACTTTTACTTTTACTTATAACAAGAAAAAACTGTCTTTTTCATGTATATTTAAATATGTTATATTTAAATCGCATACTCTTATTAACTAAATTAAAGTGAACAATTGGAAATTTTCACTGAACAGTTGAGAAAAGATGACAGGGTTTGGCATTCAAAATGGACAATTTTTCTTCAGGTATGTTTACACCTGTACATAATTACATGATAAGCCTGTATACAAAAATGCAAATAAAAAATCTTTGTTATTAACTTTAACTTCCCTGAAACACATGAATTCCAAAAAGGGTCAATAAAAACAAATCTATTAGAACTAAACAATGCCTATCAAAAATTGTAAGTAACATTACTTACCAAAAAGTGCCGATCCAGACAGCACATATACGAAACCATTCCAGCCTTCAGGCACAGCCTGTTTAAGAGCTGCCCCTTTGTCAAGTTTAAAGTCAAGGTACATAGTAGGTGTTCTTGTTTTCACTGGTGACTAAAATGATGAAAAAATGAAACAAGTTTTTTGGCATTATATGAGCTATTGTGTCTTGATGTGTACTGTGCTGTTGGCATGACCAGAGCAGACCAAGATCAGCCGGCATATCCATGCATCTGAATATGGTCTGCACTGTTCACTATCAAGTCTGTACTTATTTCAAAAATTTTACCCTAAAACAATGAATGGTTTTGTCTAGAGATTGATCGAAAGACAAGTCCATTTAAGATATTTAGCATTATGTGTTATTTGTGTCACTTAAATACTCAAACACCATGCTGAAATTTCTTTAATGAACTTGTCAAGCTTTCATTTTTGGAATTGTTCATTATCACGTTTGAGGAATTCATTCAAAAATTAATGCAGATCAGGCACCAATAATGAGTAAAACTTGGTTATACTGCAAGGATGTGCAGGCTGGCCTTGCCTTATACTGATTTCAAATGTATATTCCTTTCTGTTCCATCTGGATTAGGGTAAATACATATAAGCTTTGATATTTTGCTCTAACTTTTGCATAAATTACATTACCAAAGATAGATATATCTAAAATATATATAAGAAGATTTTACATTTGTATAATTCAGTCCCAATCAGTATATTGTATTTACTAATTCTGGTTTTTTTAAAAAGGGCAACTGATACTGAAGTAAAGTTTAAACAACAGGTGATTATATACTGCAGAGGTACATATGAGCCGCGTCATGACAAAACCAACATAATGGATTTGCGACCAGCATGGATCCAGACCAGCCTGCGCATCCGCGCAGTCTGATCAGGATCCATGCTATTCGCTTACCAACTTTATTACAAGTGGAGAAACTGACAGTGAACAGCATGGATCCTGATCAGACTGCGCGGATGCGCAGGCTGGTCTTGATCCATGCTGGTCGCAAACCCATTATGTTGATTTTGACATGACACGGCTCATATATGTAATTACATACATTAACATTCCACCTCCATACACCACTATTTGTATTATGTACAAAAGCATGCACATGTGGGCAGAACCACAAACTGTCCATTAGGAACATAATGTTCCATTATTATATAAAATCAAACAGTTTAACAATTTGAGACCTTATGTAACTGGTTAAATAAGCAACATACCCATAGAGAATCTTTATGGTTTATATTTACCTTGATTCCAAGTGATTCTCCAGCAATAACCTTTACACTTACACCATTCTGTTTTGTTTTCGGAATATCTTTGTCCAGTAATTCTTGATAAGCAGGCTCTACCATTTTGTTTTGTTTTGACAGATTCACCCAAAGCTGTAACCCATGCCCGATTTCATCGCCCTCCGGCATTTCACAATGCAGTATACCACGACCAGCTGTCATCCACTGAAGCAGATTAGAAAATGTTTTGTTTGAATTTCCATACAGCAACTATCTGTCGACTTTTTTTGTGTGCTTCTGTTAGGCACATCAACGCTATCTTTAATTGTGACATGCTCACGAAAAATTATCAATGCCTGAATCGCAGGCTAAAGCGACAGTTACACAGCAACTTCAAGCAAACAACTAAAATGCACACAAAACAGGTGGATTTTTTCATGTCCACACAAGTGTATAATTCAAACAAGAGTTATGGGCCTTGGTCAGTGACTATGACTAGTAAAGCATGTTAAAAGTTTAAAATGAAACAAATACTTTTCCAATTGTTTTGAGATACATCATATATGCAAATTGGATATTCCTTAAATTCACAACGGGATATAATATCTATATGAATATTAATGCTTTGGGCTTTTCAAGTTCAAGTGAATACCTTCATGTGATATACAAATGTATATCATAACATGGATGAAAAACCTTAATAAAGTATTATACTATTTCATATCTAGCACCAATGTCAACCCAACGTAAGGTTAGACAACACAGTTCCACTTAGTCTGGAGTTCCTTCCCCTTATACTACGTTATAGTAGTAAATGTAGGCAGGGAACCAGACTAAGTTCCACTCTCTATTTTAACCCTTGCCTGGCTACATTTGTGTAATGGATTTGCCCAGCTTTGAATTTGGAACATTCCATTCAACATTTTGGGGATTTCAATATCAAATACAAAACAAAGATTCTGTGGCTGGCCTGGCTCAATACTGGTGACAAAGGCTTCTTGTCATTTTAGGTTGTCAGCATGTTAAGGGTAAGAAAAGGCTTCAGATTAGGTACCTGCAGATCACCTGGATTTATAACACCTTTATGCCCACAAAAATCTTCATGCCGAAAAGATCCCTCTAGCATATAGGTCACCTGGAATGTAAAAAAAAAGAATTCAGTTAAATAACGAGGGAAAAGCATAATACATCTTCTCATATGCTGTAATAATTAAATTAAGATAAGAAAATTAACATACAATTTTATAATTACCTTAATAAATATATTATAGTCTTTACATTGTTAATAGCTATGTGTATCCTATTCATAAAACAGCATATGTAATTGTTTCTAACAAGATATCAGATGCTTTATTTCCACAGTCAAAGCCAAGCCCATAGTTAATAACTATTTTATGGTATTTTTTTTTAAAAACTGTGGCATTGTTCATATTAATTACAGATGTTCCTAATAATGTCCTGAATAGTGTAAAACAGTAATGCATCTGGAATTACAGATGTTCCTAATAATGTCCTGAATAGTGTAAAACAGTAATGCATCTGGACCTTTCAAATACCATTCTATTTAGCAATTTGAAGAACCTGAATTATATAAGATAAGAAGACCTGAATAATACTATTAAGAATCTTTTTCGCAAAAGATGACAATTTCGAAATATGTATAGCTTAAAGATCTTAACCACTGGCATAGGCACCCCATGCAGGAAAGGTCTTGAGGTAAAAATCTGTGTTCAAAGCCACCAAACTGCAAGATAGTTAACGTTAATATACATGTATACCAAGTTATTCTTGCATATCAGACAGCATTCTCTAATACATGTACCGTTTACACCGGTGCTAGAAAACCCTGTCTTACACCCCATGTAAGACACGTTGCATGCTTTAAATAACGTCATTGCAGCGCGCATTTTATGAATGAATTGCGTTCTTAGGATGACATCACTTAAACGTTATGAATGAAGTTGTAAGTTATATGCTAGAATATCAGTTTTCGTAATTACTGTTCTGAAAATAATTGATATGTAATATGCAAGAAAAAAAATCAAACACCGGCTGTGGGTACAGACGGGAATATCTAGCTTGAGGGTGACTGTTTACGGTGATAACGAGGCTCTGCCGAGTCTGAACCAGCAGCCGGTGTAAGATTCATATATTCTGGTACCAAAACAGGTCCAAAGAATTGACTCAGATACAAGTAAAAGCTGAACTTAGATTTCCACTGCTATCTGATACCTGCACTCCAACTGAGGTTATAGACTAAAGTTAATTACAACTTATTACAGGGTGTAATTTAAGAAAGACAAATATACATGTATATCACTTACTGTTTCGAATCCTCTATGTGGGTGATCAGGAAATCCTGCAGGCTTCTTCACTTTGAATTCATCTAACAACAGAAAAGGGTCTAAGTTTCTGAGTTCCGCATTTCCAATGCTTCTACGTACCCTTGCGCCCATGCCCTCATCTTGTTCGCGACTCTCAATTACTTTTTCTATGGTTCGTGACATAGTTTCTATAGTTACCGTGTAACTTTCAATTTGGGAGGTTTCAATTACCTCAATGCTTGAACACTTGTCTTTCGTGCAATATTCCTTTTTATTGTCACTATGACTTTCCACTGGTGGCAAGATTAGCAATGACACTACCAAGTAAGTCCTGCAACAGAGAGATTGAAATAAAAGGAATGATATGACATTTCAGCAGAGTGTTCTATTTTATGACACGTGTCCCAGTTATTTGTTTACACAGCATGTGAAAATCAACAGCGTATTTCAATCATATTTCAATCAATTTCAATCCAAAAGGCTCATTATAAATTTAATCATATTTTCCTATCATACAGTTCAGCTGTTAATTGATAGCATTTGAGATTTTCATGAAAAAGTTATAAACAAAATGCAAAACCCATACTACAGATACGTACCATTTCATTGCAAAATTCTATTAATAGCAGCAGGGAAAACCCGTTCAAATTAGAATCTACTGTGCGGAAATAAATTATTTATGCGGCATCACATACAGCTCGGTTTTAACTAAACGAAAATTTATATATAAAAAATATTTGTATTCCATAATAGCCAAGGAAAAGTTCAGGACAATGAAAAAATAATGTAAAAAATCAGAGATGTTTTACTAAATCCGTAACAATCGGTGTGAAGTTTTGTTGTTGTCGTTTTTTTTTCATAAAGGTTTTAAAATATGAAATATAGAAACCATTTTATACCTTTGTTTATATAATGAAAAAAAAATCCGAACAGCATTAATTTAATATTTTAGAAAACCTAATTGAAGCATTCCTAGTTCTTATTTAAATGGATATGTTTTTGAGAAAGTCACCTGGAAAACATGTGAACAAATATATTATATCATATACACACCGTATTACCGGCGGCAGTGATGGCAGATCACTGCAGTGATGGCAGATATCTGAAAATTACCGATCAATATAGGTAGGTTATAAATTTGGTTGGTTTAATTATATTACACAAATACGGCCCATTTCATTGCTATAAAACTATTGTCCATTGAATGGAGATACTGTAAGGTAATTTTGGACTCGTTTTTTCCTGTTTTCAGACTATTTTGAGCAGGTTAAAAGTGAAAGCCATAGAAAAATCCGTGAAAATGTCTGTTTTCTGTTCAAAATATCTCAAGTTTTATGTAAATGGCAGGATTTCCTGTTATCAATATAGACGTTCATCCATTGGGGTCACGCAAGCCAAATATCTACCCCGTGAGTCTTTTCTTGAAAGTTTTACAGACGCTCAATCTTGTCCGGTCGAAGAAAAAATGCTGCCGTTGTAGGCAGATACATATTATAAATGCTGCCGTCGATGGCAGAAATACCATGAAAGTGGCTAACATTCTGACAGAAAATCAAGTTCAATCTTTTATCAATTCCTCTTTTCTTTGCGTCCTTTTAGTCAGAATTGAGACGTTAAACTATCATTTCTAATAATTTCTCAAGATAGAAAAGTTATTAACCCATTACCCCATGAGCATCTTGTGAAAAATGGCTGTTTTCATTTTAAGGTCTCCCGTTACAAGTTCAAGTTGCTATAAAACTATAAAAAAAACTGCTTCAATACTAATCAAACTTGGCACAAATGTTGACTAGACCATTGCCTTTGTAACAACATGTTCAGTCTGAAATTTCCTGTTACCATAGCAACTAGGGGACGTCTCAAAATTGCCAAAAATCACTATTTTGCGTTGATTTTTTCCATCAAAATTGATTACAAAGTGCTGCCACTTCTCAATGGATTGAGATAGAGTCAAAGGCTTTTCAGCATTGGTTACACGTTACCTTATGATCGACCTGGGGCCATTTTTAGCCTCCCACAAGTTCAAAGTTTTCTTGGCGATGAGGGGGACCTAGCCCCCCTTCAAACCCCCCAAACAGAAGGGGGCACATCCCCCTTCTGGTAACCCCCTGATGTATCTTTTGGATGGGGGTGGGGGGCCGCGCCGAAAAAGTGGTCAATTTTTTAAACAACAATTATCAAACAAAAACAAGTGTTTGGGGGCCTAAATAAGGCATTTTTTCACCATTTGAGAAAGCAAAAAAGGAGGGGGGGTGAAAAAGGCGTAGAAAGGCGTATATATCTGGTAATGGGTTAACAGAAAATGACGAAAAAAAACGAAATTACCCAAAAACGCGTTTTTCCATGTTAAAACATGGCCTCACATATAATTTTGAAGAAAAATTGCTGTTTTGTAGATTTTTTTATTTTTTTTCATTAATGCGGTATGTGCATCGAAAAAAAGCTTATTAGCAACATGCAGTTACAATACAAAAAGTTATTATTTAGTACCACAAAATTTCACTATAAATACAGACATGAACATGAAAAACTTCATTTTTTTCTATATTCATGCATGTGTGCTTGATCTGTTGTGTCTGTCAGTTACATGCATACAATACTATATGTATCTTAAGTTTAGCAGCGCACTCCCTTTTTAAGACATAACGCCAATTGCATATTACAGCAAGTAACTTCTGTAAGTGGATATTCATTTGCTAGCATATGACATTATTTTCTCGAGGTAATAATGTTCATCGCTTTATGACAAATAAAGGCTGAAATTTACTTAATCGACGCAGATTATAAATTATTAAATTGATGTAATAAAGGGGAGACTATTAACCTCGCAACTGGCATCAGTGTATCATAAAACAATGTATGTTAATGTAAAATGGAAAGATAATATTATTGACAGTTCAAATATTTTCCTATATTATCAAGTTCTTGAAAAACACGACAACGTGGATTCATTTCTTTAAATTTTCATGTTTGTAATAGCGTTGTAGTTTGCCTTTGAATTACATTTACTATTCTAAACTATTAACAACAGTTCTAACATCACGTGCCATTTAACTATATATTTTTTCATTCATTTTAGTTGTAACCATGACAACTTATAAAGATGAGCCTTTCGATGATTCATATATCACAAGATGAAAATAAATCCTGTATTTATAGGAAAAAAACTAGAATTTTTTTATTTGTTATATTCTTTTTCTCTTTTTTGACCTTTCAATTCATATGAACAGATCAAGCACACATGCATGAATATAGAAAAATGAAGTTTTTCATGTTCATTTCTCTATTTATAGTGAAATTTTGTCGTACTAAATCATCACTTTTTGTATTGTAACTGCATGTTGCTAAAAAGCTTTTTTCGATGCACACACCGCATTAATAACTTTTCTATCTTGAGAAAATATTAGAAATGATAGTTTAACGTCTCAATTCCGACTAAAAGGACGCAAAGAAAAGAGGAATTGATAAAAGAATGAACTTGATTTTCTGTCAGAATGTTAGCCACTTTCATGGTATTTCTGCCATCGACGGCAGCATTTATAATATGTATCTGCCTACAACGGCAGCATTTTTTCTTCGACCGGACAAGATTGAGCGTCTGTAAAACTTTCAAGAAAAGACTCACGGGGTAGATATTTGGCTTGCGTGACCCCAATGGATGAACGTCTATATTGATAACAGGAAATCCTGCCATTTACTTAAAACTTGAGATATTTTGAACAGAAAACAGACATTTTCACGGATTGTTTCCAAGGCTTTCACTTTTAACCTGCTCAAAATAGTCCGAAAACAGGAAAAAACGAGTCCAAAATTACCTTACAGTATCTCCATTCAATGGATAATAGTTTTATAGCAATGAAATGGGCCGTATTTGTGTAATATAATTAAACCAACCAAATTTATAACCTACCTGTACCATTTGGTAATTTTCAGATATCTGCCATCACTGCAGTGATCTGCCATCACTGCCGCCGGTAATACGGTGTGATCTACTACTCAAGTTCCCGCTCGTGCCTGAAATAATACACCTGAGGTCTTCCTCTGACAGTACTTAATGCTGGAGGGTCATCAAAAGAGATTTAAAAGTATCAGTGTAACCACGGATTTATATTACATAAATCCGTGGTGTAACTTGAAACTCGATCAAAACCAGTATGATAATAATGATGATAATAAAATTATTATATTGTGCAAAAAAGTACATTTACACGTATATGTACACTCGCACTTGTTGCTGTCTTTAATATTCTATTATATATAAAAGAACAAAACAGTTTTTAAAATATGTACACATACGTTTTTATTCCTAAATTTTAATTCATATTTATGAATCATTCTCTCATTGTTATTTTATTATCTGGTATATATATGTATCTGGGCAGGGTCTTTCAAATAGAATTGAAATCTGGGTAAATTTATCAAAAATATTTAAAAAGATATCAAGGGGCTTTAGTCTTATTGTCATTACTGACATTGAAGGAATGGTTGTGAAAGTTTCAATATAGTAAATTCTAAGATAAAGAAATTATGACATGAAAATGACCACAAGCGTTGAAAAAATGTAACTTTGAAGCCTTTGCGTTCACCGCTATATTATTTGCGTTCACATAATCTGGATATATGGCTAGTGTATAATCATTAATCATACATTATGTAATCAAACAACACTAAAATATTACATTTGTTACCTGTATTTAATTTTATTGCAACTGAAAGGAAACGTTCGAAAACTAAGACGAAACAAATTTTCGTGTGTCATACAAGGAAGTCAAATGTGATGACGTAATTTATATTTTTAAAAATATAACAGATCATAATTATATAGGTATAACTATATAAAATTGTGTGCTATACTACAGGTGCTTTTTGTTGTTGGTTTTCGAAGATATTTTGCATTATAATTTGAAACTATTTAAAGACATAGTGGCTTTATATTAACAAACCATTTTTGTAGGATACATCTTGATAAAATATTTCAACAAAAAGTTAAACGTTAGAAAAGGAAAATGCGTTTGATTACGAATTTGTTTCTTTGGTCACCGGTGTTAACATTTCTATATTTTAAAGGAATACGAGGCCAAAACAACCCGTTTGACGTGACCTTAAAATTTAAGCAACGGCATATTCGTCAAGGAGATTGTACCGGGATCTATAATTATAGAAATGTGAGGCAGTCGTTCAAAGAAAACCTTAGACAAACAGCCAGGGCCTTGCCGGAGTTTAAAGACAACAGGACTCGTCATACATTCATCTTATCACGTTACAAAACTTCTACAGAGATAGCTCAGTGCATTCGTCGACTTGTAAACGACAATCGATGGGGCAGACGTGGTCGTGAATGGAACACAATGGACGTGGATGTCACAATGAGCTCTTTTATATCTACGTGCAGCTTCCCAGACATCCAGTTAGCTGTAATAAACGATATTGTTTGGGATAGTGGAGGTAACGTTTACGTTGCAACGTGCAGATGTGGAAAAGCAGATTTTACTGTGTCGTACATGAGAGGCCCAGACAGTTATAAAATTCACCATTATGGTTGGCAACAGAATTGGCAGGGAAATAGTGCAAGTTGCGTTTAAACACCATTCTAACGGACAAGCTTAACCAATAATTGAAAATACATTGTAAATATGATACATTTGCAAAACTCTTACTGAAATCTGAGGACATGGCTGCCCAACTGAAATATGAAGAC